AGTACGAAGTAGTGGTTGCGACTTCGGCGATGATTTTGTAAGAAAGGTTTGCTCCCCACACCGGAGCTCGCGCTATTCCGCCGACTTTACTTGACACTTGACTGACTCACGACTGCCATCCAGAGCACACGAGAAGTCCATCGAACCTTCGACTCGGCAAACCTGCAAGAAAGCAACACTCCCTGCTCAATACACAGTGTTTCGGGGAATTCACCCCTCATCAGTTGAGCTTGAGTAGGCTGAGGAAGATTGTGCCCGAAGAGCACCACTTATATAGTGCTCTCCAGGCACAAACATCACCAGGGATACAAACTTACAGAGACGCTCCGCTTCCAGCGCGACAAACACCTCGTGAACACCAGATAGCAGCGTGAGTCAGTGTCGCTCCTGGACGGTGAGACAGACGTCGAGGACCCTCGGTCATTCGCAACGCTGTCACCTCCAAACCAACTAGTCGCCAGCCCGCGCTGGGCACAACAGTACGAAGTAGTGGTTGCGACTTCGGCGATGATTTTGTAAGAAAGGTTTGCTCCCCACACCGGAGCTCGCGCTATTCCGCCGACTTTACTTGACACTTGACTGACTCACGACTGCCATCCAGAGCACACGAGAAGTCCATCGAACCTTCGACTCGGCAAACCTGCAAGAAAGCAACACTCCCTGCTCAATACACAGTGTTTCGGGGAATTCACCCCTCAGCCTACTCAAGCTCAACTGATGAGGGGTGAATTCCCCGAAACACTGTGTATTGAGCAGGGAGTGTTGCTTTCTTGCAGGTTTGCCGAGTCGAAGGTTCGATGGACTTCTCGTGTGCTCTGGATGGCAGTCGTGAGTCAGTCAAGTGTCAAGTAAAGTCGGCGGAATAGCGCGAGCTCCGGTGTGGGGAGCAAACCTTTCTTACAAAATCATCGCCGAAGTCGCAACCACTACTTCGTAATAATAATAATAATAATAATAATAATAATAATAATAATAATAATAATAATATTGAATATTGAACATCATCAAGTCGGTTCTTGGCATTCGGCATTAGGCTCCTCATGTTACGGGTAGAGCTAGTCCGTATAAACCTCCAATACTGCATTTGCTTTGACATCCATGAATGTGCAGTATGACGGTCCTCACAGCCTGATTTTTCTCTTGCCATTTGAGTATGTCTGGCATTCATCTCTTCCTCTATTTCTACAGGTCTATTCCTGTACTGGTAGTCCATTTTTGTGATTACTCTTTTTGTATTCGAATATGTCCTGGCCTCCTCCATCGTTCTGCTTATTTCTGTCCGTCTCTCAGTTTCTGCGTCGGCTTTCAATATTTTTGCTTTGGTTTTTACAATCCTTTTTGCTCCGGTCTCCATTGCGTTGGCCATTTATCTATTTTTTTCTCTCATTACCCTTGGTCTCTTTTGGCCCGGTGATGGGGTTCTTACCTCATGTCATGACAACGTGAGTGAAATAAAGCCAACTCCATAATAATAATAATAATAATAATAATAATAATAATAATAATAATAATGTAGAAGAGAAAAGGACATATCGATACGAGTTAAGAGTAACTCTCCATCACTGTAACATGATACTATATACAGTCAGAAAGTGCAATAACTAGGCACAAAACTGACAGAGTACTGAAACATTCGACGTCCTGACACCTAGCTTCAACACATCTCCGTAGCGCTAACCGACAGCCTTCCAACTTGGAAGGTTCAAGGTTATGGAAAGACCAAAGAGGGGAAGGCAAGCGCAACGAAAATGAGCAAAAGCTACAGTCCCAACGGAACAAAGAATGTCCTTTCTTCATTTATCTTTGATATTTATGACCCACCCAAGTTGGGTGGTGTGCTGCTTTGCTGCTTCGAATTGTAGTTAGACCGCTTTGTCAAATATCGTACTGGTCTCGTCATCGTCCAGTAACAATCGACATTCTTTGTTCCGTTGGGACTGTAGCTTTTGCTCATTTTCGTTGCGCTTGCCTTCCCCTCTTTGGTCTTTCCATAACCTTGAACCTTCCAAGTTGGAAGGCTGTCGGTTAGCGCTACGGAGATGTGTTGAAGCTAGGTGTCAGGACGTCGAATGTTTCAGTACTCTGTCAGTTTTGTGCCTAGTTATTGCACTTTCTGACTGTATATAGTATCATGTTACAGTGATGGAGAGTTACTCTTAACTCGTATCGATATGTCCTTTTCTCTTCTACATTTATTTATGGCTCAACATCCGAGTTTCAAATAATAATAATTTGAAACTCGGATGTTGAGCCATAAATAAATGTAAAAGAGAAAAGGACATATGGGAATAATATTAACTGGTTTTGAGGGAAAGAGACAAACGGGAAAAATCTGAAGAAACAATTGACTGTCACCACCCGCTTGTAGCCAACGATGCTCTAACCACTGAGCTATGGTGTAGTCGTCATCCAAGCAGAGACCGTTCAACGTTTTCTTCAGACTTCGTAATAATAATAATAATAATGAGACGAAACAATGTATGCATGGATATACGATCTAGGACAGAACCAAGGTCTAGGTTGAGGGTATTTTTGAAGGAAGCTGCAAGTTGTGTTGAGGAACACAAAGTCGCAAACTCTACGAAAGTAAACTGCAAGAAATGTTTTGGGGTTGATTTCATGATTATTGTAGTCACAGGTTGTGTTAGAAGCATTAAAGGTTGTGTTTTCACAGGTATGTTGTTTACATTCCTATTCTTTTACAGGATAATATTTTCACGAAATATGTTAGTCAATAGAGAGGTTTTGCAGAGCGAACGTTCGCGCGAATTTTCGTTTGACGTCACGAAAAGCGAAACTTCGTGCGAACGTTCGCAGTTTTGAACGCGAAAGTTGCAGGAAACGCGAAACAAACTTTCGCAGTAATTTTCGCTCTTTGTGGACCGCTGGTCAGCCTGGCCTGGTGCACGGTGATCTTCATGCAAGTATTAGTTGTGCTTTATCTCTACTCTTCAAAGTCTCTTGGCTTGGTCCGCGAGTGCTAGCTTTCATACTTGTGGCAGCCCGTGTTGCTTCATCTCCAGAATCATCTCTACTCCGATCTCCTGCTTGCTCGTCTTCTCACTGCTCAAAGTGATGCCTTTTGAATCTCACGTGTTGATGCACAAGATTACGGCACAAGCCAACCCGACCCGTTTGTCTGTGGGTCTCCTGCCATGGACAACGTAGTCAAAGAGCTCTCGTCTCAGGCCGTGACTCAGGGTACCTGGTGCGCGTGCCGCCACTCGCAACAAATAAATAATCGGATGGAGACGACTTCTCAAAAACAAGCGAGTGCACACGAGCATTTCTTGGAGCGAGATACATGCAAACTTTCGCAGTAACGCTCTTTGTGGACTCGTGCACGGTTAGCCACCCTCAGTCCTCATGTTTGTGCTTGATCTCTACTCTTGGCTTGGTCCGCGGGTGCTAGCTAGGCTATACTTGTGGCAGCCCGTGTTGCTTCTTCTCCGGGACCATCTCCTGCCCGCTCGTCTTCTCACTGCTCAGAGTCGGTTACATCAACGATGCATCGATGCCTCTTTGAATTTCAGGTGTTGATGCGCCAGATTACGGCACAAGCCAACCCGTTTCAAGGGAGTTTGTGACTGTGGGTCTCCGGCCATAGACAAGGTAGTCAAGGAGCTCTCGTCTCAGGCCGTAACTCTAGGTGCCACCACTCGCAACAACAAAAATAATCGGATGAAGACCACTCACTGACCTGTACTTCTCAAACAAGCGAGTGCACGCGAAAATGTCTTGGAGCGAAAAACATGCAAAACACAAATTTCGCGCGAACGTTCGCAATAGTTTTCGCAACCCGGAACGCGAAAATCATTGCGAACGTTCGCTCTGCAAAACCTCTCTAATGAGTTTTCTTATGGTACACCGTACAGCCATGCAGCTGCCACAGGTGCCGGTGCAAGCAGTATTACAGGCTTTGATGTACATGTATGCTTTTATCACATTGCTGCATAGGTCTTTCCAGCCTTGTGTACGTGTAGTGCAACAAAAAAGTTCAAAAAACGCGGGAAATTCGCGGAAAACGCGGTCTTTTAAAAATCGCAAAAAACGCGGAAAAAAACGCGGCCGCGGAATCGCAATTTTCCCCGGGGACAGCATGTACGAGAAGATGCCGGCCGATGAGTTGTGTATTACCGGTAATTGTAAAAAAATAAATAAATATAATAAATAAAAAAGAGTTGCGAAAGATTGCGCATGACATTGTGCACAGTCATGCAGTGCATGATCTACACACGTAAAAATAACATGACTGTTTCATGACTGTGTAACTGACTGCAAGTGGTTCCTAAATCAGTTCCTATTCCTCATTGTTGCTTCTTTTTTCCCCTCTAGTTTTCTGTTACGGTATTATAATTTCACGGAGAAGGCGGAGAGCCCGAACGTGTGCAGTTTTATGCCTGTGTAACTGACTGCAAGTGGTTCCTAAATCAGTTCCTATTCCTCATTGTTGCTTCTTTTTTCCCCTCTAGTTTTCTTTTACGGTATTATAATTTCACGGAGAAGGCGGATCGCGGAGAGCCCGAACGTGTGCAGTTTTATGTTTATTATTTGCCATGGCGACCCCCATAAGTCCAAATAACTGGCAGGGCAGGGTTGGGCCTTTTTCTTTCTTCTCGGATTTATTTTCATGACATGCTCACTGATTTTACTCAGAAAAAATTTGCATGTGCAGTGCCGTTCAAAAAAAAAATTCAAAAAAAAAAAAAAGTTTCATGACTGTGCACAACCAGCTGGCCATGCAGTGCGGAGCGGACGCAGATCCGCTCGTAGATCTACGCGTGCACGCACGTACATGTAGATCTACACGTACATGTGCAAAAAAAGTTTCATGACTGTGCACCCAGCTAGCCATGCAGTGCAGAGCGGACGCAGTCCGCTCGTAGATCTACGCGTGCACGCACGTACATGTAGATCTACACGTACAGTGTTTTGTACATGTGCAACATTTTGTGGAACAAATGCGAAGATTCTTGACGAACGTTGGCGTGTAGAAAGTTCACATTTTAGCCACCCCAATGAGGAAATAATCAACTGTATACAGTCAGTGTAGATGAGTAGTTTGATTTCAGAAAGCACCAGGTCCTGAGACTGTAGGAGAGACACCCATATCTGTGTTTTCTTGCTAAGGAATCAGTACCTGGTTTGCTTTTGAGCAGGACGGGAGAGAGCGTCCTCTTTCTTTGCCTGAAATTTCAATTCAATTGTGCTGCTCGTTTTTCTCATAAAAACATTGCTGCCATTGAATGGGAGCTGTGATATTCGGCACGCTCAGAGCTCTGCTATAAGGAAAAGAACGTCTTCGTATTCGTTCGGGATGCCTCGCGATTACTATGAGGTACTGGGAGTGGAGCGAGGCTCGTCTGAATCCGACATCAAGAAAGCGTACAGGAAACTTGCCATGAAATGGCACCCCGACAAAAATCCAGGAAACGAGTCGGAGGCCGAGGTTCGCTTCAAGGAGATTGGAGCTGCGTACGACGTGCTGAGTGATACACGTAAGAAGGAGCTGTATGACCGCTATGGCCATGAAGGCTTGGAATCAGGTGGAGCAGGAAGCTCAGACTTTGAGAGTGCTGACATGCCGCAGTTCTTCCAGTTCCGCTCGGCCGATGAGATCTTCAGGGAGTTCTTTGCCAACGACCCGTTCATGGAGCAGTTCCTCTTCGCCGACCCGTTGATGGCGCAGTCAAATTTTGCGCATCATCAATTCTTCCCTCAGGCGCACCACTCGCAAACACAGCATAACCAGCATGCTCGCCAACACCAACATCAACATCAACGGCAGCAGCATCCACCGCATCATGAGCAACAGCAGTACAATAGCAGAGGAGCTCGAGGCAGACGTCGCGGGGATGAACGGGACGGGGGCCATGACGACAATCACCGCAGCGATCGGCACCGGTCGCAAGGCGGTAGCAGCAGCCGGGGTCAGCAGCAGTCGCACGCGCACCGCGATCCGTTCCACGCCCATCATTCCATATTCGTGCCCGCCACCCCGCTTGTGGACTCATTCGTTCCGTTTTCCCAGTTCGGTGGAATGGGCCTCTTAGGTCCTGCAGGCGGCGGAGGAGGCGGTATGATATCATCGCATGCGGGTGGAGCAGGTGGTATGATGTCGTCATCAATGTCATTCAGCAGTAGCGGTGGCTTGGGAGGAGGAATGAGTATGTCGCAGAGCTCGACGACCACGCGAGTTGTCAACGGCACGACCATCACGACGAAGCGAACGGTTACAGACGGCGTGGAGAACGTCTCGGTCTATCAGGATGGGAAGCTGACGTCGCAGTCGACGAATTACGTCAATGGCCCAATGCAAAACGCCCACAGTATAGGGTTTTGACGAGTGGTGGCAATGAGCTTGATTCGTGTGAGTACGCTGGTATGCAGCTTGCATCCGTGCACACTTTTTCTGTGTGCTGCTGTCACAAGAGCGCGCACACACACACGCACGCACAACAACGCCCGCACGCACAGATTCACATCATATAGAAGGTGCCTGAGCGCGGCGGTGAACTGCCAGAAGCTGACGACTCCCAACTTACCGCTTTATAACTGTACATGTGCGATGCATTTAACCCGCTGTTGAGTCGCCTCTCTTTGTTTTCAAATAACTAGCTCATAGTCCTTAAAAACAGAGAGCCAAACTGCCACTATATTTTGCTAGTCGAGGGCTCGGTGCACACCGTAATTATACGACTTGTTCCTAGTCAACAATTGGCGTGTGAGCAACACTGGCTGGCTCACACTCAATCACTTGTTTCTAGTCAACAATTGGCGTGTGAGCAACACTGGCTGGCTCACACTCAATCACTTGTTTCTAGTCAACAATTGGCGTGTGAGCAACACTGGCTCACACTCAATCACTTGTTTCTAGTCATTCGCGAAAAGTAAGTTCACGCTATAAGTACTTGTAGTGTTTTGTGAGCATGTCCAAGGAAACTAGGGCTGTACGCATGGCATAGACTCAGACACATAAACAAAGCATAAGCGTACCATCTTATCTCTCACAGTAGTAGCATTAAAAATCTTGCGTCTTCTTTTTTTTTCTTTTTTTCATCAAGAATATCTCACTTTCTGAAAGAATATCTCATGCTCTTATCATTATCAAATCTTCCTGTCGAATCATGTCACTTTATTCCTCATGCAGTTATATATCTGATGAATTTTGGATTATTTTTGTTCGCTTGCGTGGACTTTTCTTGTCATGCTTTTACTGGGTTTTTTTTGCCACATGCTATGCATGTTTTGTTCGCTGCAAACGACATGAATCTGCGTCGTTTCTGCTGTGCCTGTGTCTAAGGCGTTGCTGCTGTCGCCGCCGCTGTCGGTGTTACGTGTTCCGTTGTGTTGTTTTCGCTTTGCCGTGCCGCTGGCCATGCTGTCTTGATGTTGCCGTGGTGGTGGCGTGCCTTGCCATATACTGGCGGCTAAGCCTTCTGGTTAAGCTTTTAAGCTGCTTATGATCTGCGCAGTTCTGCATGTGTAGTCTACTGTGTGATGGGTTCAGGTGGTGAAAAGTGAAGTCACTACTTGCAGCTCAGCTGCTGATGGTGAATGGTGAAGTCACTACTTGCAGCTCAGCTGCTGATGGTGAATGGTGAAGTCACTACTTGCAGCTCAGCTGCTGATGGTGAATGGTGAAGTCACTACCTCAGCTGCTGATGGTGAATGGTGAAGTCAACTTGCAGCTCGGCTGTTGCTGCTGCTGCTGATAGTGGTAGTATGATGATCCATGATATCACACCTCTTGCTGCCTCATCACATTGAGACAACGGTAAGAATGCATCAGTGCTCGGTCCCAACCGGTAACCAGGGAGTCCGTCGTCAAATATACCGGTATTTGATGACTCCCTGGTCCCAACCTGGCCGTCTTACATTGTAATTTGTAGGGGAGTTTTACTGTATGCTGCATAGGCATGCACCTGGAGCAGACAGAGTACTGCATTTTCCGGAGTATAAACCGCGCTGTCAACACTCAAAATTCACCCAAATAATAGGGGGGGGGGGGGGGGGGGTGCTGCTTATACTCCGAGGATCAAATTAACGGTGATACACTATACAATTATGTAATAGGGTGGAGGATGTTTGTACTGTGTAGTTTGTGGCAAAAGAAACTAAACCGGCGGTGCATCCTGAGACCAGCTGCAAGCAGTGTACGCTGGATTGTGCTATTAAACAGGACAAGAACACTACTTATTTTTTTTATTTTTTTCACCTTCCCCTTCTGGTTAAGCTTTTAAGCTGCTTATGATCTGCGCAGTTCTGCATGTGTAGTCTACTGTGTGATGGGTTCAGGTGGTGAAAAGTGAAGTCACTACTTGCAGCTCAGCTGCTGATGGTGAATGGTGAAGTCACTACTTGCAGCTCAGCTGCTGATGGTGAATGGTGAAGTCACTACTTGCAGCTCAGCTGCTGATGGTGAATGGTGAAGTCACTACCTCAGCTGCTGATGGTGAATGGTGAAGTCAACTTGCAGCTCGGCTGTTGCTGCTGCTGCTGATAGTGGTAGTATGATGATCCATGATATCACACCTCTTGCTGCCTCATCACATTGAGACAACGGTAAGAATGCATCAGTGCTCGGTCCCAACCGGTAACCAGGGAGTCCGTCGTCAAATATACCGGTATTTGATGACTCCCTGGTCCCAACCTGGCCGTCTTACATTGTAATTTGTAGGGGAGTTTTACTGTATGCTGCATAGGCATGCACCTGGAGCAGACAGAGTACTGCATTTTCCGGAGTATAAACCGCGCTGTCAACACTCAAAATTCACCCAAATAATAGGGGGGGGGGGGGGGGGGGGGGGTGCTGCTTATACTCCGAGGATCAAATTAACGGTGATACACTATACAATTATGTAATAGGGTGGAGGATGTTTGTACTGTGTAGTTTGTGGCAAAAGAAACTAAACCGGCGGTGCATCCTGAGACCAGCTGCAAGCAGTGTACGCTGGATTGTGCTATTAAACAGGACAAGAACACTACTTATTTTTTTTATTTTTTTCACCTTCCCGTGGCCAGAGAATATAG